CCTTGGTGATTTTCTTTTGGGGTCTACCCTATGTGGGGTTCGTTGAGTTTCTTGGATGGTCAGCTTTTCATCTTTCATGATATTGGGGAAGTTTTCTGTCAGCAATTCTTCAATGATCCTGTGTTTTCTGTTTTCTCCCCCTGTTCTGGAACTCTGATCACTCGCAGATTTTTGCTTTTGATTGTCTCCCACATAATTCTCAGGGTTTCTTCATTTTTCTTTGTTCTTTTTTTCTGATTTTTCCTCAGAGTTGTATCCAAGTGTTTGTCTTCAATTTCTCTGATCCTATCTTCCATTGTTTTAAATCTGCTCCTCAGCCCTTTTATGACACTGTCCATTTCTGAAATCTTGTTTATCTTTTGGATTTCTAATTGTTATTTTTGTATGTTTTCTACTTGTGAATTTATTTTGGCATTTTGGGCCTGTATTATTTTCTTGAATGCTTCCATTTTTTTGTCTGTATTTTCCATGAATTTGTCTGCCTTTTCCATGAATTTGTCTAGTTTTTCTTCATTTTTGCCTGCTTTCTGCTTTAACTCTTGGATAATTCTGAATATTAGAGATTTGAATTCCCTAACAGTTAGGTCTAGTACCTTTTCTTCTACTGGAAGGTCATCTAGTGTTTTGTTTTGGACCTCTACTGGAACCATCCTGTCCTGTTTTTGTAAATGTTTTGATATTGTCTGCTGTCTTCGGGGCAGTCAGTGGTTATTTTCCTTGTTTATTGATTGTAGATTTGTTTCGTCCTGCTTTTTTGTTTTATTTGGTTATGTCTGAGCAGGCGGGCTGTACGTTCTTTGTTGTTTACTCGTCTGTGGGCAAGATACTTTTCATCTCCTTCTCCAGTGGGCAGGGTCGGTCACTCAGGTATGGTACAGCACGGCAGGTCCAGCTGAAGGGGAGCTGCTGAGATGGGTTGTTTGTGGCACGGACCAGCGCTGACAGTGTGGACCAGGAATCAGTGCAGGGCAGGTTCCAGTAGGCCGTGCCTGTGCTGCTTGGGAATGTGATGTTCAGCGCACAGTGCAGGTAGGCAGGAAGGAGGGGGTAGACTGTGATGTGTGAAGCTAAGATGGGTATGGGAAAGACGAGAGAGAGGAGAGAGGAACAGGAGCCAAAAAAAGACACTCAAACAAAAAAGAGTGCTAAGGGGGCTTGCTATTGGAGTAGAGAGATGAGAGATTGCAGAATGAGAAAAACAAAAAAGGTAAAAGAAAAAAATGAATAAATCGAGAAACTGGAAATGAAGAAAGAAAAAAGGGAGTAAGAGAGAGAAGAAAACAAAACAAAACAAAAAAAACAGAAACAAAAGAAAAAAAATACAAGAAAAAAGAAATGCCCCCAGGGATGTCCCTGTGCGTCTGCACAGAGTAAGGGGGTAGCTTCCAAGGTGCATGGTACTGCCTGGCTAGAAGGGGCTCCCAAGCCAAGAAAAGAAAAAGAAAACAAACAAATCAAAACAGAACAAATCAGAGCAAACAAACAAACAAA